GACACGGCAGAGCTTCGCGGCACACGAGCAGGCCAAGCCGCCCAACGCCCAATCTTTCCCGCAGTCGTCGGGCTGCCAGAAGGAACAGCAGCCTCGGCCACGGAGAAGTCCATCGGCCTTGGTCTGAGGAGCGGCCCGAGAACCAGAACCTCTCCGGAGCCCAAAGGGGTCCTTATCTGGACGTCCTGACTGTACGTGCTCCGGACGTGCACCCCGCGAAGCGAAAGGACTCTTCAAGTAAACGGGGTAGAGGAGAAGGAGGTGGGGGGGCGCGAACCACAAGCAGGGGCGGCCGGCAACTGGCAGAGGAGGAGGAGGAGGAGGAAGAGGAGGATTCTGCTGGATTCTGCTGGCCTGACCTCCGAAGATGAGAAACACGCACAACGGCGGCGAAAACGAGCCTGCCACCTACCCCCAGGCCTGTCCTGGGCGACAAGGTGGAGTCTCCTGGAGCGCACGCGGCCGAAACATCGACCGCCGCGTGACTAACAGCGGCGGCGCGCTCCGCGCGCCGCCGCGGGTCCCCCGGCCTCGCCCCGGCGGGGGGGTGAACCGCCGTGGGAGCTGTGAACCCTGGGGGAAGGAGAGGAGACGAGAGGGGGAGACGACGAGGAGAAGGGAGAGAGGAGGAGGGGAGGGGCACAGTCCCACAGCAGCCTACCCCCCTCCCCTGGGGGAGGCGCGACCCCTCCGAGGAGGAGGAGGAGGAGGAGGAGGAGGAGGAGGAGGAGGAGGAGGAGGAGGAGAGAGGAAGGGAGGAGGAGGAGAAGGAGAGAAGAAGAAGAAGAGGACGAGGACGAGGACGAGAACGAGGTGGAGGAGGAGGAGGAGGAGGAGGAGGAGGGGAGGAGGAGGAGGAGGGGGGAGGAGGAGGGGAGGACAGTTGGTGCCCTGAGCCCTGGGCGGGAGCCTCAGCAAGAGGATCTGGAACCTTGATGGGGCAACGATGAGGGAACGCCGGCTCGGGGGGGGGGGGGAGGAGGGGGGAGGAGGAGGAGGAGGGAGGAGGAGGAGGAGGAGGAGGAGGAGGAGGAGAGGAGGAAGAGGAGGAGGAGGAGGAGGAAAAAGACGAGGATGATGATGATGATGAGAAGGAGGAGGAGGAGGTGGGGCGTGGCCTGCGGGGGAGGACGGGGAGGAGGAGGAGAAAGAGAAGGAGGAGAAGGAGAGAAGGGGGAGGAGGGATGAGAGAGGAGGGAGGAGGAAGAAAGGGGGGGTGCGAACCGCAAGTAGTGGCGGCTGGCAACGGGCAGGGCAGGGAGAGGGGAGACGGGGTCGGTCCCCACGTCGCCTCTCTCCCTCCCTCGCTCCCTCCCTTCTAGTATGGTCTCCGGGGGCCTCTGGCGGGGGCCGTCACCGGAGGAGTCCAGGGGAGATCCTGCACGCAGGGGGATCTAGCAGAAGCGACACGTGAAAAAGTTGCGCCGCGGGCCTTCCTGGAGACTGCCAGAGGCCTGCCGAGGGGAGGCCTCCGAAGCCTCCCCCCCCAAGGAACAAGCGCGCTGACAACCTTCGAACCTCCGTTCTTCCCCCCCTCCTCCTCCCTCGCTCAAGCCCCCGTCGCCGTGACTGCTTCGCAGCGTGAGCCCCTGGAGCTCTGGGGTCCATCCCCTGGGACTGGGCCGTCGCCCCGAGCAGCTCCCTGAAGGCCGCAGGGCCCGGCGTGGCCCCCGGACTGCCCGAGAACCCTTCCTGGCGATCCGCTTCGCGCTGGAGCGCCAGAGGCCTCCTGCGTAGATGGGGTCCGGGCAGACGGGGTCGGAGGCTCGCGCCGCATCGCCACCGGCGCGGGGACAACTCTGGCACCACAGCGGGCCGCAGCGCCGGTGCAGCGTCGGTGCGGATCGACCCTTCGGCCTCATCCATCGTGGCCAAGGGGGCCTGGGTCTCCGCCGGCAGCGGCGGGGGGGGGGAGCGCGCCTCGGCGCTGGGGGGCGCCTCCGCCGTGGGCCGCTTCCGCTTCTGGAAGGCCAGGGGGGCAGGCAGCAGCAGCGGGCAGGGCTTCGAACCCTGCCGGGGAGGCGCCCCTTCTCCTCTCTCCTGCTCTCTCCTCCTCTCTTCTCCTCCTGCTCCTCCTTTCCTCCTTCTTCCGCCTCCTCCTCTTCCTCATCTTCCTCATCTCTTCTCCACTCCTTTTCCTTGTAAGTACTTCCTCCCTGTCGCAACCCGAGGGCGGTCGAAAGGGAGGGTCGGGCGTTTCGCAACATTTTCACAGGTGGAAGGCGGGTGGTTTCAAAATGTGGCTCTCGCCTTAGAGCAGCGCGCATTCGTCTCAACCGTTTGCAGTAATTTCACGGGTGGAGGGCGGGCCGTTTTCAACATGTAGCTCCCGCCTTAGCGCCGCGCACATTCGTCTCAAACGTTTGCAGCGGGTGGAGGGCGGGTTGCTTTCAAAATGTAGCTCTCGCCTTCGCGCCGCGCACAGTCGCCTTACAAACATGCAACGGCTTCACGGATCAAGAGCGGCTGCCTTTCTAAATGTGGCCCTCGCCTTAGCGCCGCGCAGATTCGTTCCAAGCGTTTACAACAGTTGCAAGGCATATCATGGCCAGCATGCTGAAAACGGTGTTTCGGCACGCTGTCGGACTGTTAGGGCATTACAGTCACGTTGGGTCGTGGTGCTGAAGTTTTAGGAATGATGTTCTGGCACGGTTCAGGATCGTCAAGACGCGCCAGTGACAGTGATTCGCGGCGTTCCACTCTCAGGGATGGTGTTCTGGCGCAGTTCAGGATTTTCAAACGGTTGTCTTCCAACGGGGCACTTCCCTCAGTGAAACTGAATCCTTGTAGGGGCCTAAGAAAATGGAACTTGGAGGGAGGGCTTATTGCAATATCGTTGATGGGACTTGGGTTTGCGTTGGTCTCTCCTCCTCCTCCTCCTCTTCCTCCTCTCTCCTCCTCTATCCTCCGCCCTCCTCCTCTCTCCCTCTCCTCCTCCTCCTCCTCCTCCTCCTCCTCATCCACGCGAAGACGACCGCCAGCGAAGACGACTGGTGCCGTTCGCTCGAAGAGCCCACCAAGCCTGACCTCGGACGTCCGATCATAAAAGTGTTCCAGCGCTTCAGGGGTCTCCCCCTTCTCCCTCTCCCCCCTCCCTTTGAGTGACTTCCACCTGCAACTTCCCCTTTGCCTGTCCTCGCCTCCTTTCCCCTCCCCGTTCCCCCCTCCCCTTTCCAGATTCCCTCCTGCCTCTCCACCCCCCATTCTGCCCCCTTCCCCGCCCCCCCTCCCCCCTCGGACTGTCCCCCTTGCCGCTCCCGCCCCCCTCCTTCCCCTCTCCCCCTCTGCCTGGAAGATGACTGGCCAACGGCCAGCCCTTCTCTGCGTTTTTTGTTGTGTGTGTGTCTTGAGAACAACATGGTCTTCAAGCATCGATGTGTCCTATGTTTTGTTGCCCACCTGGGCGTTCCTGGTGTCTCCACACGGTGCTCCCGCTGCAGCGTTGGCCCCGCCTGCGCATCGGCGCTCCGCCCCCCACGTTCCGCCTGGCGCTCCCGCCCTGGCGCGGACCACCTCTTGCTTCCGGTGGCCGCCCCATTCTCCCCCCGCTCCCCGGCAAAAGGCCCCCCCCTGGCCATCGCTCGGACGTCCATCCCCTGTTTTTTTTGTTTGGGTTTCGTGCGTGGCTTTTTCGCCAAATGATCAGGGCTGCTCCCTGATGGTCCTCGCCGAAGGGAAAAATGCACACGTCCGAGCGATGCCAAGCCCCCCTGCCCCCGCGGCCAGCAGCGCCACCCCCGAGACGTCGCGACGGGCCGTGGCTCCGAACCGCCGCGGGCCCCGCCGCACCCCGGGCCCAACCCGGCCGGCCGCTCGCCCGGGGAGCCGTGGCCGCGGCGGGCCCCCACACACTCCACAGTGTCGACGGCGACGACGGCGACGGTGTGAAGACGACGAGGAGGACGAGGACGAGGACGAGGACGACGACGACGACGCCGACGCCGACGCCGACGCCGACGCCGACGAGGGCGACGAGGGCGACGAGGGCGACGAGGACGACGAAGACGACGAGGACGACGAAGACGACGAGGACGACGAAGACGAGGACGACGAGGACGACGACAACGACGACGACTGTCCCCCCCGTCCTTGGGCCGCGCTCGCCCAAGCCTCCTCCCTCCCGCATCCGCCCGCTCGCCTGGGAGGGAGGGGCTCGATGTATACACCACGTCGTCTGGTCGGCCGAGACACTCGGTGTATGACGACTTACCAGACCACCCAACCCAACCCGAAGACTCGAATTTCGGGTTTGGGGGGGCACGGGTTCCATCTGTGTTTTTTTCAATGATCCCCGACGCCCCCTCAAAGGGAATGGAGGGCAAATTGGGGCCTTCGGGTTGGGTTGGGGTGGTTTGGTGGCTGGTGAGTGTATGGTCGGCTGCACGCAATATTGACCCTAGGCGAGAATGACCTTGGGTGCGCGACTCAACGGGGGACGCGAGATGACGCGGGGCTACCAAACACAAGTGCACAAGACGCTGCTATCGCATCGCGTTCGGCGATCGGGGGACCCCGTTGGGCCCGCACAAAAGGCCACTCCAGCGAAAGGCCATTCTTACGTGTAGTCGATATGGGCGCTCCAGCTGCCAAACCCGCGGGATGCTGGAGCGTCTACACACCGATTTTTGTTCGCCGAGCTCCTTGGCTCCATCACCCACCGAACCACGTAGTGTATACATGGCGGGGTCCGGAACACCCTGCAGCCATCTTCTGGGGGCGCACCCTCTACTTCCGCCGACTTCCGCCGAGGACGAGATGGCAACTCCGTCGACCCTCAAAAAGGCGAGGGCCTTTTTGGAACGCCTCACGTCGAGTCCGCCCGCTCGTCCCTTCCCTTCCCGCCCCCCGCCCCTCCCCGCTGGGGTCCTGCGGGCAGGCGGAGCGGCTGCACCAGGAGTGCCAGGAGGGCCCCCCCCAGTCTTGTTGGACCCCGCCGTGTGGTGGCCCCCTGGCCCCCGTCCTCGAGGGACAAAAGATGAAGGAACCATCAACCTTTGAGGTCCGCGCTGCTTTCGTCTTTCGACGCTGGAGTCCCCTGGCGGCAAACGGCCTCTAGATGGGGTCCGAGCAGATGGGGTCGGAGGATCGCGCCGCATCGGCGATACATCGGCGATGCATCGGCGATGCAACCGCGATGCATCGGCGATGCACCAGCGATGCATCGGCGACGTCGGCGACGCATCGGCGGCGTCGGCGTGCAGAAAATCGGGCTCAGCATCGAGCCGCATCGTCGACGCATCGGCGATGCGGCGTGATCCTCCGAACCTCATCCACCCCGACCCCATCCAGGAGGCCTAGAATCGACTTTTTTCAGGTCCGCGCTGCTTTCGTCGATCGGCGCTGGAGCCCCTTGGCGGCGCCTCCGGCGCCGACCCGTGACATCGGCGCGGGCCTCCGAGAGTCCATGCCTGTGCCAGAGAGGGCCGGCGGGGGGCACGGGGACGCGCGGGGGCTACCCTCAGGTCGGGCATGTCCTCCTACAGGCGGATTTGGGAAGACACATGTCGAACAGCCAAAGATACGCAACCACAGTTAAAAGCACGAAACATCGTCACCAGACTATTGTTTCACTCTTCTTGAATCCTCCCCCTGTAGAGGGACATGCCCGACATCAAGGCTACCCTCAAACCCACACAGAAGTGATGGCGCGGTTTATCTCTGGCACCAAGGAGGCCGTTTCCCGGCCCCTGTGACCGTCACCAGAAGCCACACACTCGGGGCCGACTCCGCGCAACACCTGCCACCCCGATCATTGGATACGGGACTTTTCCCGTCGCGATCGGTAGCGACCGATCGGCACTCCGAATCGATCGCGACCGATCAGTCGCGACCGGTTTTGAGTCAAGGCGCTCGCGACTGATTCCGGAATGTGAAGCAACATCGGTAGTGCATGATGAAGGACCGTAAGTCGACGACGCGCAAGAGCGACCCTAGGCATTCGTAACCTTTAGTGCGCGGCTCTTGGAGGCCGCGGGTGGGCCAAATCCAAGCGCGCCAGGCCAGCGCTGTGGGCCCGCATCAGTGGTCACTCCGGCGAAGGGTCACTCTTACAGTGGAGGCCAGTCCACAAGAAACCTGCCACAAGAAACCCAACCCTGAGACCCCAGGAAGTCCATTGACTTTTGGGGTGGGGACGTCACGCTTTCCACTGCAAAACCATCGATGCCCAAGAAACCCAGGGCGCCCTGGAGGCAAACAAAGCGTCTCTTGGCATGGGTTTCCACTGTACGCGAAGCCGAGTGAGAGGCTCCGGCCTCGCCGTTCGCGAAGGGCGCGACGCGCTTCCCGTGGGCTGCCCGCACGACCCCGGCCAGTGCCGGCGTCCTCCGCGGAGCTGGCGCGGGTGCCGCCCGCGCTTTGGGGGGCGAGGGGGCCCCGCAGCGGGCGGGGGCTGGGGCACATCGGTGGGCCCCTGCGCACGGCATCGGCGCGCCCAGGACGGGTTCCCGGGAGGAGGAGGAGGAGCGGGAGGAGGAGGAGGAGGAGGAGGAGGAGGAGGAGGAGGAGAGGAGGAGGAGGAGGAGGAGGGAGGAGGAGGAGGAGGAGGAGGAGGAGAAGAGGGAGGGAGGAGACGGAGGGCATCCCGTAGGTTGGTGCTGCAGCCGCGGCCTTTTTTGTCAGGTTCGGCCTCTGGGGCTCGGCATCGGGGCCATGGCCGTCAACAACGAAGCTGGGGGCCGGAAAACTCCCCTGGGGGTAAAGGTCGGGAGCTCGCGAAGGGAACAGACCACAGCGTCCAACCCTCCTCCTCCTCCTCCTCCTTCTCCTCCTCCTCCTCCTCCTCCTGGGTGCGGAAAGAGCGTGAAGACCCAGGCGCGAATGTTCTCCCAAACCGACAGCGGTCGCTTGCGGGCAAGCGGCGCGTGTCCCAAGTGGACAACGTTCGCGGCGGCACCGACAACGAATCTGGTTAAGATTTTGCAGGAAGTGCCGTCGGCCATCGTCCAATTGCTTCCGTCCCCACTTCGATTCAATCGACGGTGCTTCTGTTGGGCTAGCGGGCGAGAAAAAAACCGAGCGGGCAAGCATGCTTGGATGCGACAGCGAGATTTGCCCCCACGCAGGGGGGGACAATCAGAAGAGAAGCGGCCGCAAAGTAGAGGAACAAACAACTGCATACACATAATTGTTTCGGGGGTCCGCGTGGATTTCTTGGATCGGCACCAGGGGCGGCGTCAAAGGCGCCGCCAAGGGGGTCCAGCGCTGATCCAAGAAATCAGCGCGGGCCTCAGAACAAATATGGTTATGCAAATTCTTTTCATAGAGAAATACGAGGGGATGAGGAGGACGGGACCTGGATACAAGCTCATCGTGAGCATGTGAGAACAATAAAGGAGCATCTACCACGACAGTGGGGGCATCGGCCGTCGCACTCATGCGAAGGACCATGTCCAACTCAACACACACACACACATGCACCTGCATTCCCAATCACGGAGGGAAAAAAGGATGATGATAATGAAGAGGACATGGGGAGGAGGAGGAGGAGGAAGAGCAGGAGGAGGAGGAGGAGGAGGAGGAGGAGGAGGAGGAGGGGCGCCGGGCACGATGCAGTCCTGGTGGGTTTTTTCACCGCAGAACAATCGCTCACCTCTACCTCTCGACTGCAGTACACGACAGCGACGCTGCGCTGCAGCGTGAGGCAGTGTATCAGAGCGGACGCCAAACGCACCTCGCCGAAAACGCTCATACAACGCTGGGGCAACGCCGAAAAATAAAGGCACAACAGCAACAACAAAAACGAACAACACACATCAACAACAACTATGTTTTCGGACAAACCCGCGTCTCCCCTCTCCCCCAGAATTCTTCCGAAAACATTGTTTGTTGTTGCTCTTTGTTTGTTTGTTTTTTCTGATTCTTGTTCTTGTTCCATGGCTTCCCTCCCTCCCTTTCCCCTTCCAATCTGAATCCGTAGGAATCCCGTGGAATCCTGGCGGATCCCTACGGATCCCTGTGAAGCCCAAGAATCCTCAAAGATCCCGCGGGGTCCTTCATCCAGGTTCTTTATTATAGCCGCCTTACTAAGGATTCCTTGGTAAGCAATCATTACCAAAGACTTCTTCCAACGGAATCCTTACTGGAAGCCCTCCGTAAGGAATCTTTATAAACAACCTTTGATAAGGCAGGCGCCCTTCATACGCAATCTTTCGCAACGAATCCCTCGTACAAAATCCTTTTGGAATCCTTGTGAAGGAATCCAACTCGGTTTCCCGATTCGAGGATCCCTACTAAGTAGTCCTTGATCGTATAACAACGTATCACAGAAGCCTCAACAAGGAATCTCGATTGGAAAATCCTTGATACGAAATCCGCAGTAAGGGGTCCGTACTGAGAGATCAGGAATAACGAATTATGGATGGGATATCCTCGGAAATAATCCCTTAGTCGCGCCTCCTTCGTAAGTACTCCTTAATGAGGAACCCCTGGCAAGGAGCTGTTAGGAAGGGTTCCTGAAAAGGGAGATCTTTCGTTAGGCGTCCTTGGTAAAAAGGAATCTGAATCCAGAACCCTTGAGATCAACACGATGTATACGAAGTCCTCAGTCAGGAATCCGTATACAGGGGGGCTCCTTTACTCGGGAACCCTTAGTAAGGTGTCCTTACTGGGGAAACCTTACTGAGGAATGACAGACGGTTGGCCATTCGTGAATCACCCTTAGTGAGGAACTCCTGATCCTTAGTAATAAATCCGGCGTAAGTTATCGCTATCAAGAAGACCGTAGTAAGGATTCCTCGGCATGGTGGCTTTCCAATAGGATCCTGCATAAAGAATCCTAAATAAAGAGCCCGTGCATACATAATCCATAAGAACTGTTCCAAAGGAGACCGTGCACGGAAACGTTTCGCACGGAACCCTGGGCAAGAGTTCTTAGTAAGGCGTGAAGAAGCCTTCTTACTCGGGAATCCTTGCTGAAGGGTCCTTGATCGTAAACTCGTGCTTAGGAACCCTTAGTAAGGAATCCTGGTTACAAATGGTCCACAGTAAGGGATTTTACGTAATGAATCTTTCGTGCGGAAACCTGCGCCTGGATTTCTTATTACCAAGGGGTCGCCATTAACGCGCCCGTAGTAAGGAATCCATGTGCGGGAACCGTTACTTCAGAGATCAACAATGACGGACCCAGACCATGGGATCTTTGGTACATTGCCTTTAATACGGTTTCTTACTCGGGGATCCTTGCTGCGAAATCCTTGGTCATAAATTTGTACCCAGGGACCCTTCGCGAGGATTCCGAATTAAAAAAATCTTTCATACGGAGATCTTGCGTCAGGGACCTTTCGTCAAGAAGCACGGGTGAAGTTTCCTTACTAGAGGGTCGTTAGTAATGCGCCCGTAGTGCGGAATCCTGGTGCGGGAAACTGTATCCATGGGGTGCATAATAAGGGGTGTTTGAATCATGAACCCTTATTCGCCCCCCTTGGAGGAAAAAAAACAAGCGCCCAAACCGTCCAGGCCTGTATCGTGCCTGGTGCGCGCGGAAGAGGATGATGATGAGACGGAGGATGAAAGTGGGAATGGGATGTAAGACTATGTGTCGTGAGGCTTTTCGCAGCATCGTCCTCACCATCATTGTAATTTCTTCCATCATAATGATCACCAACATCAGCTTCGCCCTTATCCTCCTCAGGTTCATGCCTGTCGTCATTATCCTCCTCATCCCCCTTCTCTCACCACAACCAAACCAATCAGACACCCGTACAGTCAGCAACAAGAACAACGACATACGCTCAACAACAAAATTGGAAACCCGTCGCTCAACACAATGCAAAACCAACACAATCAACACATAATACAACACCACTGCAACCAATCGCAATCTGAAAACATCTTGGGTCAACAAACCCTGTGACGACACCACCAGCAACCAACAATCACAAACGACAGAAACACCTGTGAGGGTACCAGAAACCAACCATCACTGGCGTTCGTGTCTTCGGGCTTCCCCAAGGTCCCTCCAACCCATACCCGCCCAGGCAGCTTGACGGCACGAACATTATGGATGTTTGGTTTTGGGACCCCCCCCCCCACACGCTTTTGTTGCTCCCCACCCGACAGGTTGGGGTCGTTAAGCTTTACGAATCGGCCTCCTGACCCGCCCGCCCTGCATATCGCGGCCGCCCCCCCTCGGTATGCATACCGCGGCCGCCAGGTCCCCAGGCTCCCGATAATCCCTGGTGGTCCCGCCCCCCCCCGCCCTGCATACCTCAGCCGCCAGATCCTCAGGCTCCCGATAATCCCTGGTGGTCCCGCCCCCCGCGCCGACTCGCCCACTCTGCATACCGCGGCCGCCAGATCCCCAGGTCCCCCACAGAACAGAGCATAACACCACACCACCGACCATACCATATCCGAGCAAACCATAGCAGATCATGACAGACCATATCGTAACATATCACACTTTGGCCGATCAGTGCATGCCATGGGGCAACGTCATAGCACACATCATTCCATACTGTGACAAATCAAGCATGCCATAACGCACCAACGCAGAACTGAGCATACAAATCCATAACACGCCACATCACCACATACCATGAAATAGCGTATCATAGCACAACACGGCTTAACAACGCACGCTATGACAGATCGGAGCATACATGACATACCATAATATAGCATACCATGGCATGGCACAGCACTGGCCGAGACCACCGCGCCCCGCGCACATCGTTCCAATGAGCGCGCGCACCTCCAGGATCGAACGCCGAAGGTTGCGGTGGGGATCAAGAGGTTCGTATGTCTGGTTTGCTTCCCTCACAAGGTTCGTGGACCCAATACGTTTTCTGACTGTTCTTGATTGCATGGACGCTTTATCGCTATGTGTTGTATGTGTTTCCACGTTCTTTTTGTTATATTGCTTTCTTAAGTGTTTCATTGTGGAGGAGTCTGATTTGTTCATTGTACAGGCTACCTTCTCCCTCCTCCCCCTGCCGTCCTGACATGGGGGGCGAAGAGGAGGACGAGGCCAAGGAGGAGGGACGATGATGATGGAGACGATGCTGATGACCATGCCGCGGATGATGATGCTGATGATGATGCTGAAGAGGATGATGATGCTGATGATGATGGTGGTGGTGATGCTGACGAGGACGAGGACTAGGCGGGATGATGACGATGATGGTGACAGTTGGGAGGAGGATGAGGTGGAACGACAATGATAATGCCGATGTTGATGGTGATTCTGATGATAAGGGGGAGGAAGCGGACCTCAAAGCACAATCGCACAATACATATAACTCCGGTATTTCATCAAAGCACCTCCGTCCCCTTCTCATTCTCATGATCCAGCCCCACTTGTTCCTCGTCGTCATCGTCGTCCTCCTCTTCCTCATCCTCATCCTCATCCTCATCCTCATCCTCATCCTCATCCTCATCCTCATCCTCATCCTCCTCCTCCTCCTCCTCCTCATCATCATCATCATCATCATCATCATCACTCTCATCTTCATCATCACTCTCATCTTCATCATCATCATCATCATTATCATCGTCATCCCTCCTCCTCCTCCTCCTCCTCCTCATAATCCCCATCATCATCAAAGTAGCCGTTCTGGGCCCAGGCCGCGCCCACGAGCGCCTGGGTCTTGCCGCCGCGCTCGTCAGAGCGGCCCGTGGTGGCGAGCCATGGTCTGGTGAGGTGGAATGACGAGCGCGCAGCCGCCTCTCGTCGCCCGCTGCGGCGACGTCGAGATCGAGGTGCGCTCCTACTTCATCGCGGCGGCGCTGGTTGCGCGCTTCTTCGCTGGGGAGGCGGAGGACGGGGGCAGCAGCGAGGCTCGGCGGACCGCCGGGCAGGCTCAGCAGCGTACCGCTGCCGAGCACGAGCTGGAGGGCAGCCGAAAACGGGCTCGTTATTCATCGGGGACCTGCAGGCCATCCCCGAGGTGGCCGTGGGCGAGCAGGACGACGGGGCGGCGCAGCACGTCGAGGGTGGCGTCGTGGTACCGAAGGATGGGCAGAGCGAGAAGTCCGGCAGCGCGCTCGCCGCGATCCCCGCCTTCCCAACGCCGGGGGTCGAGAAGACCGTGGAGGTGCCGACGGCAGAGCACGTCGAGACGATCTTCCACGCGTCGAAGATCGCGGTCACGGTGCCGACTGTGATCGTGATGCTTGAGGGCGAGGCCTGCAGCGATGTGTCCACGGCCGAGGTCGGGGACACGGGCGAGTTCGGCTCGAATTTCGGGGAGCAGCTGCTGGACGAGGCCGCGGTCGTCGGCAAGAGCTTCACAGAGGGCGGGCGGCAGCTCGGCTCGAACTTCGGGGAGCAGCTGCTGGGCGAGGGCGCGGTCGTCGGCGAGGGCTCCACGGAGGGCGGGCTGGAGGACGTGCTGGAGCCAGGTGTCTTCAGCGAGGTGGCCGCGGCCGAGGTCCAGGACAAGGTCGGCTCGAGCCTTAGGGAGCAGTTGACGGACGAGGGTGCGGTCGTCGGCAAGGGCTTCACAGAGGGCGGGCTGGAGGGCAAGCTGGGGGCCAAGGTCGTCAGCAAGGTGCTCTAGGACGAGTTCGGGGCCATGGGTGATGTCACGGATGGGGTCGGGGACAAGCGCGGGTTTGGCTCGAGCTTCGGGTCTCAGCTGCTGGACGGCGTCGCGGCCGTCGGCAACTGCTTCACCGAGGGCGGGCTGCAGTGCAAGGAGGTTGCGGCCTCCAGCAATGTGTTCACGACCGAGGTCGGGGACGAGGGCGTCTCGAGCGTCGGGGAGCAGCTGCTGGACGATGCTGCGGTCGTCGGCAAGGGCTTCACGGAGGGCGAGCTGGAGAGCGAGCTGGAGGCAGAGGTCATCAGCGAGGTCGCAAAGCAAGAGGCTGGGGTTTCCCGCGAGGTGTTCACGACCGAGGTCGGGGTCGTCGGCCAGGGCACCACGGAGAGCGAGGCGGAGCTCGGCAAGCAGCAGCGCCTTGGCTCCGTGACCAAGACCAACCAGGAGGCCTACTCGCGGGTGGTCGCCGCGCCCGCCGCCCGCCTGGCCCAGTGGCGGCTCGCGACCGAGGTGCTGGTGGACAAGTTGACGGAGGCCCCTGTCGAGGCGGCGGAGGCGAAAGTCGAGGGCTGCTCCGAGGTGCCGTCCGCCGAGGCCCAGGAGGTCCAGGAGCGAGTGGAGGCGACGGTGGCGCAGCTCGGGTCCCTCGGCCAGGTGGTGAAGGCAATAGGGCTCGGCGAATGCGACTGGGACCCGGACTCCGAGGCACTTCGTCGTGCTGCTGCCGTCGGTGCGGATAGCCTCGCGCCGTGCATGGCCATGGTGAAGGAGCTCCTGGCCGCAGCGCCATCAACGTCGTGAAGGGAGCTAGCGCCGTTCGTCGTGCTGGCGCCGACCGCCAGGGCTGAGTGGGCGGCAGCTGCGCGTAGTTGCTGGGCTCGGCTTGAAAAACTGGTGTCTTTCTGGGGGCGGCCTGGGGGGCTGCCTCGTTTCTGGCCGCGGGGTCGTGGGTGTTTCCCTGGTGGCTGCGCTCGTCTGCCCGTTGGTCTCCGTCCCCGCGGGGGTGGTGGGGCCTTGGCTACGCTTCTCCCCTCCTGGGAGAGCCGTTGCTGGGGTGCACCTGTCTGGTGGGACCCTCGGGCTCCTCGTCGCCGCTCCCACCTTGCTGGGGAGTGTTTCGCATCTTTCGCCGCCGCGGCGGCAGGGCGCTCGGACTGCGCCCCTTGTCCATTCCATTCCATTCCATGCCATTTCATTCCCATTCCATTCCATTCCATTCCTTATCGTCACCATCGTCTCTCCGCATCAGCAAAATCCAGATCATCATCGTCATCATCATCAGCAGCATCATCACCATCATCATCACCATCATCATCATCATCATCATCATCATCATCATCATCGTCGGCATCGTCATAATCAGCATCGTCATCATCAGCCTCATCATCATCAGCCTCATCATCATCAGCCTCATCATCATCATCATCATCATCATCATCATCATCATCATCATCATCATCATCATCATCATCATCATCATCATCATCATCATCATCATCATCATATAGGTCACCATCATCACCACCATTGTCCTCATCATCATCCATCCTCCCCAGCCCACTCCTCCGCAGCATCAACATCATCATCATTATTATCACAATCGTCATCGCCATCGTCATCGTCGTCATCGTCATCATACGTCATTATTACCCTCACCCTTCCCATCATCAACAGCATCATCATCACCCCGCCTCCTCCGCCTCATCCACATCGTCACCATCACCATGTATCCTCAACGACCTCATCATCATCAACATCATCACCATCATCATTTGCATATCATCGTCATCATAATCATCATCATCTTCTTCATCATGAGTACCATCATACTCATCATCACCAACACCATCACCATCATCACCACCAGCACCGTCATCATTAGCGTCACCACCACCACCATCATTATCAGCATCATCACCATGATCGCCATCATCAACATTGCTCCTCCTCCTCCTCCTCCTTCTCCTCCTCCTCCTCCTCAGCGTCACCATCATCACCATACTGTCTCTCTGCTCACCGCCGCTGTCCTGCTGATCGCATCCTCTTACAGCGCACGAACGCAACATCAATGGCACGACGCAAACTCTACAGTGCTTTTCTGCCGTGCACACTGTTGCCCATATCGCCGTTCGCAGCGTCAATGACAAGACGCGGACTCTACCATGCTTTCCTGCTGTCTCCCACCGGGGCAGTTCCCTGTGGAAATGAATCACATGTAGGGGCCGATGAAGAATGGGCATTTTGGGGAGGATATATTCCAACTTCGTTGATGGGTCTTGGGTTTCCACTGGTCGTCCACCTCCTCCGCCTCTTCCTCCTCATCACCCCCCCCCGCGCACGCCGGGTGCACGCGAGTGGCGCGCCCGCGGGCTACCTCCCCAAATGGACCCGCCAATGAGGCACGTCTAGTGGCGCGAAGAACAAGAGAGTGTCTCGAGAGCACGGAAACGATGATGAGGGAGATGAGGATGAGGATGATGGTGATGATGCTGCTGCTGCTGATGGCGATGATGATGAGGATAATGACGACGATGAAGGTGATGCCAGATGCTGCTGCTGAGGATTCTCATGTTGAGAGTGGTGCTGATGATGAAGATGACGATGTCGATGATGATGACAATGATGATGATGCTACTGATTGCGCCGATTACGATTCTGCTGTTGATGAGAATGCCGACAGTGATGCTTGTATAACGGTGATGATGGTAGTGGAGATGATGAGGATGCGTGTATGATGGTGATGGTAAAGAAGATGATGATGATGATGGTGATGACGATGCTGATGGTAACGGTTCTTATGCGGATGATGGTGAATATGCTGCTTGTATGGTGATGACGGCGGTAATGCTGATGATGCTGCTGATGGTGATGCTGGTGATGATGATGACGGCGATGATGGTGATACTGCTGCTGATGAGTATGATAGTGAGGGTGCTGCTAATGATGGTGATGACGACGATGACGACGATTATGATGGTTCTGCTGCTGTTGATAATGCTGCTGGTTGGGACTATGCTGTTGATGGTGATGTCGGCAATGATTATTGCATGATGGTGATGGTGGTGAAGGTAGCAACGATGTTTCCATGATGAGTTCACATGATGACGACGCTGATGATGATGATGATGATGCTGCTGATGATGATGATGATGCTGATGATGATGATGATGATAATGATGCTGATAATGATGCTGATGATGCTGGTAGTGGCGATTATGCTGATGTTGATGTTGCTGCTGGTGATGATAATGGTGATACTGATGATGCTGACGATGACGATGATGATGCTGATGCTGGTGGTGACGATGATGGTGACAAAGAGGGGAAGGAGGAGGAGGAGGAGAAGGATGATAATGGAGGGATGAGGAGGCGGAGGAGGAGGAGGGGAAGGAGAAGGAGAAGGAGGAGGGGAAGGAGGAGGAGGAGGAGGAGGATGAGGAGGAGGAGGAGGAGGAGGAGGAGAATGGAGGGATGAGGAGGAGCAGGACGACGACGACGGCCGCGGCCCTTCGTCCTCGCCCCCTCGCCGCAGCGGAAGGCGTGCCACGCGCCGTGGCGGCGCTGCAGGGCACGCCTCTGCCGCGGCGGCCGCGGCCCCTCTGCGCTGTCGCCGTCGCCGCTGCCGCCGCCGTCGTCGTCGGATGGGGGGCGAGGGGGGGCGATCGCAGAGGGCAGACGAACCACCCTCAGCATAAGCACCCAGGCAGGCGAAGCCGCCCACTAAGCGCGCGTGAGGGAAAACAACTCGACAAAGGGCAGGCCCGTCCAGCAGACGCCCACGGCTGCTCAGACGTACTTAGGGCACACAGCATGCGGGTCGGGGTTTTGTTGTTTTCTCACTTGAAGTGATGCCAGGGGGGTAGGGCGCGACGGGGAGAGCAGTGGAGGATTGAGGAGGAGGAGGAGGAGGAAGAGGAGGAGGAAGAGGAGGAGGAGGAGAAGGATGAGGAAGACGAGGAGGAGGAGGAAGAGGAGGAGGAGGAGTAGGAGGAGGAGGAGGTGGAGGAGGAAGGCGATGAGTAGGACGGAGGACCACGGAGGAGGAGAGGAGGAGGAGGGAGGAGGAGGAGGAGGAGGGCGAGGAGGAGGAGGAGGAGGAGGAGGAGGAGGAGGGGGACGGATGAGGAGGACGACGGGGGAGGACTACGGAGGAGGAGGAGGGCGGAGGAGGAGGAGGAGGAGGAGGCGGAGGAGGAATAGGAGGAGGAGGAGGCGACTCGCCGATGCGCGGTCTCGCACGTCCTCCCGCTCCGCCCCCTCCGCACCCCCCCCGCCCAGCCAGAGAGCCACCTGTAGCTCGAGTGTTGCAGGCAATCCCTGAGCCAAGGTAGCTCGCCAAGAAGCGACCTCACGCGTGGTTCACCCTCCCACCCCCGCGCCCCGCTCGCATGTGACTTGCAGCGCGCTATTTGCAAACAATTCGCGGGTAAACGTGGCGGGTGGGATTGCGCATTCTCTCCGCTCCCACCCTCCCGCCCCGCCAGAGAGTTACCAATAGCTCACAGGTTGCAGGTGACGCGCGGGTTGGATCAACTCCCACCACCCCTTTGGGCGTAGGTGGTCTAGAGTGTTTCCTCTGTTGCCCCTCCTGCTTCCCCTTCGGGGAGGGGTTGATCACTGTTCCATATTAATAGACACCCCCTCCCCCAGGCGACTGGGAGCCACTGGGAGCCAACCCGAGACCATGCGCCCCCCCCCCTCCCTCACACAAAAACACCACAAAACACACTCTGTCTCCAAATTCGGAGTATGCGCAGCGAACCAGATGCGGCCTCCCCCCATTATCCCTGTCAGGCAAACAATGCAGAGTACACTTGGCGGCGGCGCCGGCTGCGGCGGCTGCGGCGGGAGCAGCGGCTGCGGCGGCTTCGGCGATGGCGGCAGCGGTGGCGGCGGCGGCGGCGGGGGCGGCGGCGGCGGTGGCGGCGGCGGCGGCGGCGGCGGCAGCGGTGGCGGCAGCGGCTGCGGCGGCAGCGGCGGCTGCGATTCGGCAGCGGGGGCGGCGGCGGCGGCGG